ATTTAGCAAAACTTGAAGCTGAACAGATCATTTATCAGAGGAGCTTATCTGATGAGACCAGATATTAGTACAACTGAATAAGATGCCTCAAAATTTAATGCATGAGTCGTATTTCCAGAAAAAAGTTTAGCTAATGCTTTGGTAACTTCTTTCTATAAGATAATGCTTTAAAATGCTTTTATATGGATGATTGCTGAATACTTAATTAATTATTCTGAAACTCTCTCCTTGACCTAGGTTTCAAGGAAAATTGACATTTAAATCTTAGTGGCTGGAAAGTGGAACTGACCCATTGCACTGGGTTGTTCTTAAAGTTTGGGATTAAAAGAGATTATCATGGATCCTTCCTGGTTGTGAATCACATCACAACACATGAATGATTCAATCTTCTCTTTACTTCAAATACCTAGCAAGTATAACCTTTTTCTTTCCCCTCTGTTGAGTTTTGACAGGTAACGTTTAGTGCTCTCTCTCATTCCTTGTCCCTCTGTCCATCCACTGCAAACCATTGCAATCTGATTTCTCTCCACTTCGTTGAAACTGCTTTGGCAAAGGACGATGACTTCAAAATTGTTAAGTCCAACGAGATACTTTTATCCCTTTTTTTTACTCTGCTGCTTTAGACAGCATTGCTACATTCTCCTTCTTTAAACTTTTAAAACAGTAAATATACTTCTTCTGTGTCAATATTCTTACCTTGTTCTTTTCCTTTCTCACTGATTGGTTCTTCATATTTGAGGCTTTTCATTGTCTTTTGTACTTAATTTCATCTATTCTTACACACTCAAGCAGAAAATCTTTGAGCTTTATTTTCAAAATGTACCCAGGGTCCTACCATTTTTTACCACTCTAAACTGTGATAATTGTTTTCTTAAATAATAGTGTAGCTTCCTAATTCATTTCTCTGTTTTCTTTCCCTTGCCCCTTAAGTAGGTTCTGCAGATAGCCTGCAGAGTAGTTCTATTATAACTTAAATAATATTACTTTTCCAAATCTCAACTTCTAATGGTTTCTAATATTATTCAGAGTGAACGCTGAAGTTCATACAATGGCCATTAAGGCTCTAGTTGATTTGGCCCCTTGTTATCTCCCTGATATCATTTCCTTCCACCCTCCTTCTTGATTAATATTCTTCATTTGTATTGGTTCCTTATTGTTCCTCAAACATACTGCATAGACTCTTTACCTCAAGGCTTTGGAATTTGCTGTTTCATCTTAACAGAAAACTACTTCCTAAATCATTCATGTGATTCACCTTCTCACTTAAGATCTCTGCTCAAAAAAAAAATCGTAAAATTGCAGAACTGCCAGGCCACTCTCTATAAAATAATGCTACCCGCTTCTTCCTCACCTTATTTGATTTTTCTTCATCTTATTATGCTATTGATGACTGCCAAATACTTAATCTTGACTTTCCTTCTAAGCTTCTTGATAAACATTTCCACTTAATTGTCCCACAGACACCACGAATGCACATGTCCAAACCTGAAGCTCATTGGAAATGCCGGAAATACCCAACTGTTTGTAACCTGGACAAAACCTGTGGCTTCATGCTTCTATCCAATTACTCATATTAATTTTTCACCTGTAACACTCTTGCTCACCTGCTAATTTGTACTCATGCTACAAGATCAGATTTGATTTCTTCTCGTAGTCTTTTATTAACGTAACTCCCACCCACCAAGTGGTTAGTTGTTCCTCCTCTGGTTCTATAACACCTTAAGCTTATCTTTAACCACTGTATGTATTGAATTATAGTGATATGTTTCCTTTAATTATCTCTTTTCTCTAATAAACTGTAATCTCCTTAAGGATAGAGACTACGCTGTACATATCTTTCTATTCTTAGTACCTCAGTATTCGCAGCATGGAAGGAGCTCTAGGAATGTGTGTTAAACTGATCGGAGTTAATGTTCCTTAAAGAATGACAGAATGTGGAAGAGCCTTATTAGCCAGAGTAAAGAAGAGAGGAGAAACAGTAAAAAAGGAACTTTGTGACTGAGCCTGACTCATCAGGATTAATCTTTATACAATTCCAAAAATTTGAGAACTTGGATATTGGAGGTGGGAGTGGGGGTGGAATAGGGTTGGCGGGGCAGTTCTGCCATTGGCTATGGATATTTTGAGAGAGAAAAGATAATAGAGGTAGAAAAACAGAGCTTTGTTCTTTTAGCAGCTTCACAACACAGCACCAGTTGTCTGACCTAGCTTTAGCTGTCCTGTTGGGTGGTGGGGGAAGGATCAATCACACAACGGTAAATTCTCAGGAGACCCAGAGTCATCTTGTTAAGAGAAGGAAAATAGAGAGAAACACCCTGTTTCAGAGAAACACCATGAATAAACACTTTAAAGAACAGCCCTTGGTATATTTTCAACATACAGATAATTGGATAATAGGCTTCATTCGATGCATGGCTGTTTTCTTATCCTTTTCTGACTAATGGCAATTAAGATGTTGAAGTGTAGCGTAGATAATTCAGTGGTTGTTGCCATGGCTAGTAATTACAGAGTCAGAAGAGAAATCTCCTGATTCCAAATATTTGGTTTTAAATTTCTCATTTCTTTAGAAAGAAATGCGTTCAAAGACATGTATTCAAGTGCTGGTTTCTTTCCCTACTACCAGTCAGACAAATTTTCTTGGATTCAGTTTCTTGATCTTTAAAATGAGAGTAATAATGTTTGTTCTACAAAGCTCCCAGGGCTGTCATGAAGCTCCAATAAAAGCTGCAAAGGGAAGAGGTACTGTTTTTAAGATAATCATAAAAATAGGAGGCCATCTTATTGGTAGATATTAAATCAGTTTCATTTAAATTATGTTATTTGATGTTTGGTGTCTTAAAATGACAAACAATATTTAATTTATCCAAGTTAATGTTATTTTGCTACTGTTACTTCCAGAATGACTAATATACTGGATAAATTGATTATGACTGAATTGGAACCTGCCTCTAAAACAGTGTCTGCAGGGCCCACACTCAAAAGCCAGTTAGTTATAGATGAGCACATGATCTTTTCTTTCTGCTGGTGGCTTATGCTTCCTGAATGAATTCCAAAAAGAAATCATGTTATATTGATTTCCTATCTGTAGTAGGTTGTTTGTTGTATAGCCAGCTTGGAAGGTATACATGATTGTATCAATTAGTAATATTTGTTAGGGGAAGCAGAATATCTTTATAATAAGTACTTTGCAATTGTTTTTATTTTTTTTCAGAAAAATAAATGCTGTGAAAATCTTAATTAGCAATATTAAGAGAATATTTAATGTGGCCCTCCAGTAGATAATTGGAAGTGAGACAAAGTGGAGTCACTCCTGTTTCCACCATTGATTCCCAATCCCATGTATTCTTCATATGGTAATACCATACAGGGTCACTGATTTAATGCATACACTGTGTCCTGAAGAATGCATCATTTTCTTGTAGGCTATTGCTTTTAAGGTAGTGCTTCGGCTTTATCTTCAGTAGGATGCCCCAGTGTTCTGTGAGGCCTGATGCTTCTGGATGGCATACTTCTTTCTCTTGAAAACTCGTATGTTAGTCAGGTTCTATATTGTGTGGAATTCCATGCCTGCAGAATGAACAATCTATAAATCTTCAAATAGTGGTACTGGCTGAAGCACTGTGAGAAGGATTGGCTGGCCTCTGCTCTGTAAAGTTATGAAAACTTTATCTGGTATATATATTTATCCCTATGAGGATTAACTATTGGTGCTTTCAGGATGAAGAGATCCATTATGTCCAGCTAGCCAAGACTGTCTAGTTGGTTTCCTCAAAGACTAGTGCCATATCATAAAAGTCAGCATTTGCTTTTGTTGCTGGCAGATTGCGTATTCAAAAGCAGTGACCACTCCCTTCATGTGTACACAATACTGTTTCTAGGATGGTCAATGATGAATCCTAGTTAATATAAACTGACTGAGTTGTTTTCTCTACTTAATTGTTTAGCTCCTCTTCTATGGTGGGTGCTTTTGGTGAGTGTTATTAATTATATTAGTTCCCCCTTATCCACAAAGGATAAGTTCCAGGGCCCCAGTTGATACCTGTGGATAGTACTGAACCCTATATATACCATGTTTTTTCATGTGTATGTGTGTGTACACACACACACACATACATGCACACATATATATATACACATACCTCTGATAAAGTTTAATTTATATGTTAGGTGTGGGAAGAATTTAGGAACACTAACTAATAATAAAATAAAAGAATTATAACAATATTCCAGGATGAATTCCCTTGTGCTTTGGGGCCATTATTAAGCAAAATAAGGGTTACTTGAATACAAGCACTGTGGTACTGTGTAATCTAATAACCGAGAAAGCTGCAAAATGACTAATGGGAAGGTAGCATAGACAATACAGACCTGCTGGACAAAGAGATGATTCATGTCCTGGGTGAGACTAAGCAGGATAGTGATGGATTTTGTGATGCAATTTAAACTTGTGAATTGTTTAGTTCTAGAATTTTCTATTTCTGATTCCCAAACTGCTGTTGACCGTGAGTAACTGAAACCATGAGTAACTTTCACATGGAAAGTGAAACTATGGATAAGGGGAGAGTACTATGGCTAACAGAGATTGCCAAATCCTCTCCTTGAAAAAAACAAACAACTACAAAGCTGCATGAACTTATAAAATCAACCCTTTCCACACTCTGTACATTGAGGAACAGAATGCAGCAATCTGAGAAACATTTGTGCTTGAAAAATTGATGAAATATGGGTAAAAGGTTTCAAGGTCTATTTATATGATGACAAAGGGTGATAGAGTTAATATAGCTCTGAGGCAAGACTATAAATGAATATCATTGTTTGTCCCACATGAATGCCATACTGCTTCTGATCTTCTTACATGTTTAGTATAGAAAAACAATACATTTATGAACTCACTAGATATCTGAGGTTCCTTAACTTTTGTTACCACCCTCATATCATTATCCTTTTGCATGGTACCATTACAGCTTAGTAATTACCAGCCAGCTTTGCTGTTCTTGCAGGCATTGGCACCTCTCATCACTTCCTCCCCTCATATCTTTCAAATGTATGAAGTGTTGCGTTGCAAAGGGCTTCGCCCTCTGCTGAGACATTTTCCCAGATAATCAGCAGCAAAATCTTCAAAAATTTGGCCTCCATCTTGTGGAAGTGGCTATCCATGTGCCATATTCTACTGAGGATGGAGTCTTCTTTGCCAGCAGGGAGGTGAATGAGCCATTCTCCAAACTCGTTCTTTCTGACTGTGGTACCACCTATTTCAGTTCAGGTCCTCCAAGAGGCAGACCTCAAGACAGTATTATATGTGCAAGAGATTTATTGGGGAAGAAACCCCTGAACAATTTAGGGGAGATAAAGGAGGGGGAGAAAGTATGAGAGGTAAGGAGAAACCTTAGACCATAATGCAGCTGTGACACCTGTAAAAAATAGAAAGGAATAAGGAGGATGAGAGAGGAAAAGCTGTAGACTAAAGTTCTGAGAGAGTTCTGTCCAGGCTGATGGGAAGTCTTAGAGCAAAGATTGCCTATTAGAAGAGTCCTCCAGTTGCTATGAGCCGAGATTGCACCACTGCACCCCAGCCTGGTGCCTGGCGGCAGAGCAAGACTCTGTCTCAAAAAAAAAGAAAAAGAAGAAGAAGAAGAAGAGTCCTCTATGAGAGAGAAATGGCCAGGACCTAGTACCTTCTCACTGGAGGGTCAGTTGTTGGCTGGGATCAGCGTGAGGAAAGCATGCCATGACTTTGGCCTCCTGTGGGGGACCTGAAGGGCAGCAGCTGGAAGCTGTCAGCCAATTATGCTATCTAAGCAGGTTCTCTAGAAGTAAAATCTGTGTGGCATACTTCCATGGCCACCAGGCTTATCTCAGGGGGCTAGGAAGAGAAAGGGGTAAAGAAGAAATTTATACATTGTTAAATTCTTTTACATATATTGTTAAATTCTTTTACTTGACACTAAAATAGTGTATGTCTTTTGTGACACACAAATTAATCATGACAATTAAAAAGGATTGAACACAGAAGTAAGCATGCATAGATGCATATGCTTTGTCTCCTCTTTCTAGGTTTAGACTAAAGATATAGTTTAAAAAGGAATAAATACACAATAGCTCTGGAATACAAGAAGTGAGACTATAAGAAGGACAGGAAATTGGAGGAATTTCTGATACTGTCATATCCATAGGAAATTATATATCAAAAGGCACTTGAGATAGCTAAAAATGGTTTTAGGGATGGCTCCATGCTCCTAGTATGTAGATGTGAAGCAGCAGGGTCTCTGGGGTCTCCATAGGTCAGTAGTGTTTGATGCTGAGGGGTTAAGAGCTCATTTTTCGGGCCACAGCATTTTCTCTTTATACAGAGTGACACCAGTCATTCAGGCGCTATTGTCTACTTTTGGCCCATGTTCCCATTCAGCACATGTCCTTGATCCTGCTCCTGACCAGAAGCAGATGCCTTCATCCACTGCTGAACACAAATTTTGTAGCGGGTGTGGCATAGGCAGAAATTACAGTGCCTGGATGAGAGAATTTGCCCACATCCAAAAGATAGGTCTTGGACACTACACTCAGCAGCAAGCAGTCCTTGCCTCCACCTCACTGCCCCAATCACTGGAGATAGTTGTGTTTTTTTTTTTTTTTTTTTTCAAAGCACCACAGACATCTGAATAATAAGATGTTTAAAAGCAAAATTAGATCAACAGGCAACCAAATACTTCCACACATTTAGTGATAACCAAATCTGTGAAAATTAATGAATAACACCAGACAAAACAAATTAAAGAAAAATAGGATGTTAAGGAAGTAAAAATAATATTCTTAAAGGGATAAAATAAGTTGATGTGACAATTAAACAATAAAAGGTTGTTAAAAATAACAACAGTTCATGAAAATAAACTCAATAGGGGCTAGGTGCGGTGGCTCATACCTGTTATCCCAGCACTTTGGGAGGCCGAGGTGGGAAGATCGCTTGAGCCTAGGTGTTCAAGACCAGCCCAGGAAGTATGGCGAAACCTCGTCTTTACAAAAAGTACGAAAATTAACCAGGCGCGGTGGGCCATGCCTGTCATCCCAGCTAGTTGGGAAGCTGAAGCGGGAGGATCACGTGAGCCCAGGAGGTCAAGGCTGCAGTGAGCTGTGATCATACCACTGCACTCCAGCCTGAAAAAGAGTGAAACCCTATCTCAAAAAAAAAAAAAAGATGAATATTTTTAATTAGTGATTAAGGTTGAACAAAGCAGTTCACCTGGAATTCACCACAAAAAGATGAAAAGTATTAAAGAATAATTTATGTAGCTTCAAAAATAGCTGTATTTGTCAACAAAGATTTCCATAAGGAGAGAACGTTGCATGACAGTACCTGTATTTTCATATACTCTCAAATATTGGTTAATCATTAAAATATTTCTTACAAACTCAATAGGTTAGAAATTGTGAATGGTGTTTAATTTGCATTTATATGACAACTAGTGTAGTTCAGCATCATTTTTATATATGGATATGTGTGTGTAATATGTGTATACATCTGTGCATATGTATATACACATATATATTTGTGAATGTGTCTGCATTACCTTGACTACCTTTTCTATTATTGTTTTTTTCTTCTGATATATTGTATTGACATGTATCTTCTTTTTATGTAAAGGCTAATAGTCCTCTGCCAGTCATATAAACTATAAATATGCTATCTTAGTTTATACTTTTAAAAATCACCTGTGAATATTTTGTCTTCCATAAGACTTTAAAAAAATTGTTCAAATATGTTGATGTTTTCTTTCGTGTTCTCTGGGTCTTTTGGCTTTCTTAAGTATTCCCTTTCTTCTAATCCTCCAGTCTAAGCTAGTTTTTATTTCACTTCTTTATAGCTATCTTTTTCTATTTTAGATCTTAAATCAGTTTTAAATGTGAGTTTACTTATTATATGAATTAAATATTGAATTTTTTCTCAGGAGGTGTGTGTGTATGAATATAAAAAATGCACATTCTCTTTTTTGTTTTATTGATCACTTTACTAATTTCTAGTATCATGTCATTTTAGTTACCAAAATTTTATAACTTATTGAGAATGTGATTCCATATTGTTCTCTTCTGAACTGATCTCTGCTATTACATGTTTATGTTCTCTAGAAAACCTTTGGAACTTATTTGCTCAGGTTTCTGTATGAATTATACCTTTTAGTTTTAAAATAAAACACATATACATAAAATCACACACATGCAACACATATGTAACTTAATAATTAATATAATGTGAACACTCTTGTGGCCATGACCTGAGTTAAGAAATGGAATTTTGCCTGCCATCCTAGAATCCATCCATGTGCCCTATCCCAATCTGAATTTCCCCAATAGTAACTACTATCTTGATTTTGTACTAATTACTTTCTTGCATTTCTTGATAGGTTTATCACTTAAGTGTGCATCCTAAGCTAGAGTCTTACAGATTAATATAGAGGCTCTTTTAAATTTTTTAATTTAATTAATATAGAGGCTCTTTTTAATTTTTTCTTTGGAATTCATTTGTTGAGGAACCTAGATCATTTGAGCTACTGATTCTCTAGTCTGGATCTTGGCAATTTCATACTTAAGTGCTATCCAGTTCAACACGTTACTCTGCCCTCTGATTTCCTGCCAAGTGACAGTTGGATCCAGAGGCTTGATGGGCTAAGGTTTTATTCCTTTAGCAAACATATTGGCGGGCTTTTCTTTTTTCGTCAGAAGGCGCAGAATGGCTTGTTTCTCTGAATTTCTGTCTCTCTCTTTTATTGTTATGTTAGCAATTATTGATGCTTAATGTCTTGAATACTCAATTTGTTAAAGGTTGCAGAATGATGATAGTGTAATTCTAGCATTTTATTTTCATTTGTCAGCTAGGATAATTTTATGAAGAGGTGCTTTTCCCCATCTATTTTGTAGTTACCCAATGGTACAATTCATAAAAGGAAGGCAATATAGATGCAAAATTATTACCCTTAATTTATCACTTTTCAAGATAATTACAGTCAACTTCTGGAAACCCATTGGTGTCTTTTCCCTATCATTATCAACTCATAGATGTATTTTCATCCATTGGCATTATTATATTGTTGAAGCTCAAACTGTCACATCTTTGGCCAGTGGAACCCTCTTCCAATTGGTTCATGAGTGTTTTTAATGTGACTTAAGTCATTTTTGATCACTTAACTTTCTATCAGGTTTGACAAAGTACTTCAGGATTATTTTATGCATTTCCTGTCTCAGTTCTAGGATCAGGCTTTCTCCAAGAAATCAAACTCAGGTTTATTTTAGTCAAAAATAAGATTAAAATCTGAATGTTAGAATACTTACCTATTTTGGGATGATAATTGTTTGTAGAATTTTAATAAAATTAAATATATAGAAAGAGCTTAGAAACACATATCCTCACAAAAATATACATTTAAATATATGTATCTTCAGAGAATATGCTTCACAAGTTTATGCTGATTGATAGTTTTAATTCAATCTCAGTACTACAAGGTTTTTACTTAAACTTCCTTAAAAACATAGAAGAGGATATAAATATTTTATAATTTCTTATTTTCTTTATTCTGCATTACACATGTAACAGTTTCAGAATAGCAATACCAATATACCACTCTCAGTATGATTATAAAACACAATTATGTGGTTTTTCATATGCTATCCTCATTTCTTGCTCATACTTTAGTAGTTGAACTATAGCTACAAGGTCTGAGCATACAACAATTATATACTATATTCTTTCCCTTTTTAAAAACTCTCATTTATTTTTAGTTCTAAATGTAATTATAATTAAAATGCTTGCCATATGTGCTTATGGTGGTATTTCTCTAGACATATTGATTGTTAGAATCCTTTATCTAATAAATTCATCAGCAAGTGTTTAAGAGAACGTTTTGAATTGTTCAGTGTTGCTAATGATTTGTTTTATGTTCTTTATATTTGAAAGCCAGTTTTGCTAGACATAAAGTCCTTGATACACATATTCTGTCACTGAGATTTCCAAATATATTTTCTATTTTCTTCTGGCATAAAGCAATGCTGCCAAAGTTTGATGATAATCTAACGTTCTTTACCTTATAAGACAAATGCTGTTTTTAAAAATGTCCAAAGAATTTTTTTCTTTTAGAGCCCATGAGTTTTTCTGTAGTCTACTTTAGTGATAGTAGTTCTGAGACCAAATTGTCAGGTATATGTATGTGTGCTCTTTTACTATGCAATTTCAAATCTTTACTTCAAGGGAGTTTTTTTG